CCACCTGTCCTGCCTTCTGTGCATCTGTCTGGTCCCGGTCCTGCTCACTGGCTGAGGGCAGTGTGGTGGGGGCTTTGTCCCTGTCTCGGTGCCGGTGGTGCCGTCGAGGTGGGTCCAGAGCCTCTGTGGACTCCGTGGCCTCAGGCCGGGCTTTGCCACTGGTAGGACCCCGAGGTCCATCACGGCTGGGCTCCACCACCAGAGGCCGATCCAGATGCGTCTTCATGTCGGGCCGTAAGTGGCGCGAGGTGGCATAGCGCAGTCGCTCCTCAGGGTCCATCTCACTGTACAGTGCCTCACAGCTGGCCCGTAGGTTCTGCAGCCGCAGCTGGCTGGCTCGCTGCTCCCACACGGACCGGGCCCGGGCCGAGTTCTGCTGCCTGCTGCAGGGAGACTTGCCATGAGTGTCACTGCCCAGCCGCTCTACTGAGCAGGGAAGCCACAGATGGACAAATAGCGATGGAGGGATGGCGGGGGTGCAGGGAGCACAAGGAGGAGGGAGAGGTGGCAGGAGCCCTCAAGACCCCCAGCAGAGTGATGCTGGTCAGGTGGGGAAGACCAGGACCGAATTTTAGCCCCAGCTCCCTCAGGTGCCCCATAGGACTGAGCAGAGGAACAGAGCTGAGGAGGCGTGAGCTCAAGGGCACTCTTGAGCAGGTGGGCGGCAGTCCCAAGTCCCAGGGGTACAAGGCGGGGGGGGCCACTGGCATCAGCATGGGTTGGTATAGAGTCCCAGCAGGTGGTCAGCTGGCCAGAAAGGCCCAAAAGGGATAAGAGGGAGTAGCACTGGGAAGACAGGGGGGTCCCTGGCATCCTTCCTGGGGAGCTGGCACTGCCCAAGCACTAGAGCAGAGCTGTGCCAATCCTACTTCCCACAAGAGAGCTGCAAGCCAGGAGACCAGGGACTCGGGAGGTAGCTGGCACCACACGAATCAGATGCAGTCCAGGGAGCATTGATCCTCCCCCAAAGCGGTCAGCACTGACTGGGAAGCCACTTGACTCAATGACCAGAAGCCCAGAGGTCAGGACTGAGGCTAGCAACAGCCCCTCGTGTGGTCACCAATGCTCCCCTCTCATCTCCCTGGGGACCCCTCCGTCCCACAGGAACAAAGCCAGATGAGGCTCTTTGGAGGGTGGCAAACGGTCCATAGGATACCAGATTCACTGTTCTAGGACCTTCTGATCCTACATCATGTAGGGGCTCCATGGGTGTGTGGAAAGCTCTGGGCACTTTGCTAAATAAGGCACAGCAGGTGGCCCCAGCCCCCACTGACACCAGGCAGAAACCTTATCTGAGGCCAGAGCTCCAGCCTCAGCCTCTGGAGGCTTCTGGATAGCCAAGGCAGTGGCAGTGACATCACTAACAATGACAGCAGTGGTATCAGTGCCCTAGGCTTCACGCCCTCTTCAACTAACCCTTGCAACCACCTCAAAGACAGGTGCCACTCTAGGGGTTGGGGGGCCAAGCTAGACAGACGATGTGACCTGTTCAGGGTCCACGGTGAGTCACTGATGGAGCCAGGATAAGACACATGCAGGGATAGAAGGGAAAAGTATCTAGAGAAATTCGAGGCCTCAGCTAGACCCCAGTTGCCTGGAAATCATACGCTGCAGCTGCACCTGTGGAGCCCAGCTGGCCACCTGCAAGGCCAGTCATCATGTATGGGAGAAGCCCTGTCCTTACTGTCTGCCCATTCCGGTGGATGGAGAGCCCAGCCTATCCCCTCTCCAGTGCGGAAGGCACTTTCACAACAGCACTTGCAAGAGTGGAAACAGTGTCTGTGCCTCTGCTGAGAGCTGGAGTGGTGTAGGCAGGACAAGAGCCATGTGCCAGCTCCCAGCACTGAAGCTGCACTACCCTCACTTACTAGGATGCCCTGCAAAGACCCACATGGTCTCTCTACCCACACTGGGCCCAGCTCTCAGCGGTGCTGGACAGTATGAGATGGAACAGAGCCAAGACAGACACTCCCCAGGTGTGCAAGCCCAGCGAGGTCACTGGCTCCAGCCTTCTAATAAGTCCAGCAGCCCAGGCTGAGCCTGATTCTCAAGCCCCTGATCAGCAGGGAGGAAGCTCCTCAGATGAAGCCACAGCCTAGGGCCAGCACCACAGTCCTGTCACAAAAGACAATGAAGACGATAGGAAACACATAGAAGCTCGAAGGTCAGACTGCATGGCTCTCCCCTCACTCTCCTGCCCAGGAATCACCTCAAGGACAGCTGAAGACACCAGAACATCTGTGGGGCTAAGGGTACCATGGGACTGGTAGGGCCCTCTCATGACTACCAGGCAGTGCAGGGCACTGACCAACTGGGCAAAGGCCACCTGCCCACCGAGCCCATTTCTATGGGTCCCCCTGCCATGCATCTGCCCCAGCCCAGCTATACCACTGGGTCCTCTGCACAGATCCCAGGTCTGAATCTTCACAGTGGGACTCACCTCGCTGTAGGTATCCAAGTCGCCCTCCCCTGCCCTAGCTGCCATCTCTGGCCTTGCTTTGTCTGGCACACAAACCCCACTGACCTCTGCCCAGCATAAGTCTTTCACTCTATTCTTCTCTACCAAGCTCACAAGCAACGTAAGAACCTGAGAATGAGCTGAGCCACTCTCCAGCCTCCAGTGCAGAATGGCTGGCAACTCCAGTCTAGGCAGCTCCTTCTTAAAAGGGTTCATTAAGGAATCACAGAGAAGTTCCTCCTGTGATGTCCCAGCCCAGCGTGGAGGGGCAACCTACCTGTGCCAGGGAGGACAGCTCACTACACCCAGCCAGGCACTGCAGATAAGTGCAGAAAAAAGCCTTGAGGGTCTCCAGCCTGAGACAGCCAGCTACCCACAACTGCTGATGTATGAGGAAGCCCTGATAAAAAATGTCCATGCCCATATTCACATCTTGTTCACAATATGGATCCTACCATTCTTTCCTACCCCACGAGGCATCAGGGCCCCAACAGCCAGCAGCAACAGTACTTACGGAAAGACTGAGCTCAGCACTACAAAGGCTGCCAAGTAGGCACAATGGAGGGATGGCATAGTCCTCAACACCACCAGAATGCAGGGAAGACACCTGGCCACTCCATTCAGGTGGTCCAATTGCACTCAACTATTTCAGGGACCATCACTGGCCAGGTCTAGCCTCACTCTCAAGGGGAAACTAAAGAGGACAAACCAGGCAGAAGCATCCCTCAGGAGAAGCTGCCTGGGGAACAGCCAGCCTATTAGGTTGTCTCACCTCCAGAAGGACCAGTCCAGGATTACCGTGGCTCCACCTGATCCATGTACCATAAGCTCCACAGTGAGCTCTACTTGTGCTAAAACAGACTTTCCCAAGAATCACTGATACATTCCCTCCAAGCAGAAGTTGGGGAAAATCATGAACGGCCCTGTGAGGCCCCAGGAACCCTCCCTGCCATTTCTGCACAGGGCTTGCCCTCAATGAGCCCATAGCATCTCATCCACTCAGAGAAGCAGATGATCCTGGGACACCAGAGCAACCGTGCACAGAGTGACAGCAGACAAAGAGGCAGAGACCAGGAGGAAGAGGAAGGGCCGAGCTCAGAGAGGGATGTCAGGGAGCGCGCCCACTACTCCCAGCCAGGCGTCCGAAGGTGGGCCTGGAGCTGCCCGTTATGCAAACAACTAAGGTGGGAAAGCAGAGTGAGGAGTGGAGGGCAGGTGTGTGTATGTGCTAATCATGGAGCCACGGACGGAGTATTGTAGCAGAGCGACTCACGGTGAATTTACGCTGGAGACAGATGAGCTGCGAGATACAGTACCTCGAGTTTGCTTTACAAAGCTGCACATGCAAAAAACAAAACACAAACAGAAGTGAGAGAACTGAGAGAGTTCTGAGAGACCACAGCGATGCTCGTGCCCAGTCAGTGGGGGCACCGGCTGCAGCGCACTTCTGGGCAGGAGCGGAGAGAGGCAGCATTAGACGGGTGCTTGCCGAGACCTCAGGGCAAGACAGAAGTTGAGGACCAATTCCGTGTGTGCAGAAAAGAAACTAATGGGAATATGGCAGACCCTGAATGCCTGGAAGATGAGAAGCACTTATCTCTGAGGCCCACGGATCAATAGTGATTCAGGCCACGCTGCTCCAAGAATGGCACTGGGTTTGAAAAGACCAGAGCCACGTCTACGATCCAAACAGCCCTCCCCTCTGCTGCAGGGCTTGGGCGGGTGACTGAGTGGGCTCAAAATTAATGGCCAGGCAAGTGTGGGAGGCAACAGCATCCTCCCGTGCATACTGCTGGCCCATTGGGCCTCCCGTGAGCATCTGGTCCCCACTCCACTCCAGCCCCTCAGCCCGCGGGCTCAAATTCACCATGGCCCCTCAAGGGGCAAATGCTATCACTCACCAAATCATCTTCCACTTGACTATCATAACAGCCACTTCCCCGTGACTGTGCAGAAGCTTTTCCAACAAAGAAAAACCAGAAGCCTCTTTACAGGCATTACCCTCCACAACAGCTTCCCAGGAAGCCTGAGGGGGGTGCCTCTTTCTCAGGGTCAAAGTCTCTACACAACTGTAAGGAGCAGACAGAACACCTACCCAAAGGGCTGGTAAGACAGGACGTGTGTTGGAGAGTTGAGAGTGTGCGGAGATTACAATTATGCATAAATGTGTGAGACTGCAAGAGCGTGAACATGAGTGTGTGGTTGTGTATGAATGTGTGTGTATGTGTGTTCATGAGAGAGATGAGTGAGGTTATGAGGGCATTAGATGGTGTGTGAGCACGTATACCAGTTTACAGAAGCCCAGGCGAGCACCAGAGTGCCACCGCAGAGAGAACCAGGAGGAGGACATCAAGCCCAGCATCCCTCCTCTCCCAGGAGCCTGAGGGGGCTGCCTCCTTGGCCACCAACACAGGCCTAACGATCCTCTGAGGGTCTGCATGGTCCATCACCTGCCCCAAGCACTATAGGCCTCTTAACATCTCAGGCACCACCTCCACCCCATCCCTGCAGAGCACAAACTACACTCACACAGCTTCAGGAAGCAGGGTCAGGATGACCTGCTCAGGGGCCAGGCTCTCTCCCCAGCTCCACAGTTCAATCTGCAGAAATGAACACAGACATCTCGACCCTCAGCAATCTCAGTATGACAGGCAAGAAACAGCAGTAGATGCAGCCTCACACCAGCAGCCACACAAGGGAGGACAGGCCTCTCCCAACTCAGGCTCCCCTCTGAACTCCAGGAGGCCGCTACAGTCACCCAGGCCTCCTGTGGTGTCAGGGTTCTGACTACATACCACTCAGGAAGGAGCACCAAAGCTGGGCCTTCAGGACCCACAGCCAGCCCTAGAGGGGGGACACAGGCTGAGTGTGGGGCTGTGACCCGGCTCTGGAGTGGATACCGCACTCAGAACTTGGTGAGGCAGAATATCTATGGATGCCCAGGGCAGAAGCACTTTTTCCACCCAGAAACTACCATAGTGCTCAGGACAACAGCTGGCATCGTGTGTCTTGTGCCCAGGGTGCTCTGTGCCTGCACAGGATGTCTCCAACAGGGCCCGAGTGTGGTAGACAAAGTGTCTGGACTTCCTTTTTGGTAGCATTACGCACTGTTCAGAGCTGTGCTGAGGGCACTGCACCCTCTTCTGGCCCAGATGGGAGTGGATAAGCTCCTCACACTTCTAGGACTGGCCACCTTGAAGGGGCCCAGGACAAGCACTCACCCTGGGAACAATGGAAAGGTGCTGAACAGACATACCGCAGGCCACGTGGGCCAGGAGCTGAGTGAGCCGAATACCTACGTGCTATATCTGCCCCACAGACCCCACTAGCGTGCAGAGCTCACGTGGAGGGGCTTATAAGGGGCAAGGCAGCTGGGCCACAACAACCTCAGGGCCAACATACTGCATTACACTGACCAAATGACTAAATAGCTGAATTGGCCAGACATGGAAAACAGAACAATACAACTGATCACATAGCCTCTCGGCAGCTAGGCTGCCATGTCCACAGCTCGCCTGGCTCTCTGCAATGGTCCCTGAGAGCTGCAGCCTCTTCCCGCTGAATCTCTCCTGTGGCCAGAGCTTTCTTCTTGGCTTGGAGACCAGTCCTCTGCACATGTCATCTCCACAGTAACTTTAGGGTAAGAACAAGGCCACTAGAGTGCATACACACTCACACGCACACTGGCAGCTTTCACACAGACATACACTCACATGTTCATGACCAAGCAACTCATATACGCACTCACACCCAGCATGCTCATCCATGTGCGAACACATACACTCAGCAATCCAGAGTGAGCAGCTCTGCTCTACCGTTACCCTACAACCAGCTTGGCCAGCCTTCCTGCCTCCCTCCCTGGAGCTGCCTTCCCCCAGCCCACTGCTGCCTTCGGCCCAAACTCTATAGTCCTCAACCCTCCTAATTGGGCAGCTCCAGCACTCAACCCTAGCCCCACACTCACCCTTCTAATCTCAGAAGCTCCTTGACCTCTGTTCCAAAACTAAATATTCTCAGGGACATGTTTGGAAGCTCCATCGAGTCCCTTGGGCTGCTGAGGTGCCACACAGAACCCCTCAGCTTGCCAAAAACCTTTCTGAAAATCTATACATAAGAGCAACATGCTGACTCCTCACCCCTGACTCCCAACCTATTGGGGGAGGGTCCTAGAGCCTCCAAGACCATCCAGTGAGCAAATACTGCAGCACAGCCAATCTCGCCTTGAATGTGAAGGCATCCTGCCCACGCTCAGCACGGGAGGGACCTGCACTGCTTCTGTGGGCTGGGCCCCAGGGCTCCTCTGGACCCTGCTATGGGGAGGACTATGTCCTTATAAGACCTTGTCAAGGCAAGAAGAGCTCTAAAGAAGTCTCTGGAAGGGGATCCTGCTTTGGCTTGGCCATGGATTCTGCTACTGTCCCATACCACCCACAACCTGCTCCTAGGAGCCTTACGCAGCAATGGAGATGTTGGCGGCAGATATGGGGCTGACTTCAGCCACTTCTTTGGCTTTCTGTAGAGCAAGCTTCTGATTGGCTGCTTCTTCCATCTCCTCTTCATCCTGTTGAAATACAGTCCCTTCAGAGTGCTATGAACACTTCATACCATCAGCTCTTACTCCTAGGGTCTTTGTGCCCCTCCTCCCCTCCATACCATGGAGCCAGGAAGGCAGCTATTGTGTGGATATGGATTCCCTATGATCCACCATACCAACTTTCAGGGCTCCTGTCCTAGGACTAGCTCAAAAGTGATGGTTCCAAAGTGTGACCATTAATTGTGATGTCAACTCTACTGGATTAAGAAATGCCATAAGGATTAGTAAAGCACACTTCTGGGTATGTCTAGGTGGGTCATGAAGGTATGGCCTTAGGTATTACATGTGGTTCCTGGCTCCTTTTTCAGGTATTGCTCCTCTGCTCTGACCACCATTAAATATCTTTGTTCTGCCTTGAAGCCAGCCACTGCGGACTGAATAACCTAAAATTGTGAGTCAAATTAAACCTCTCCTCGAAATTGTGGGTATAAGGGTATTATGTTTCAGCAATAGGATGCTAATACAGAAAACTGGTACCAGAGAATTGGGGTCATTCCTGTGACTATACTTGACTATGCGTTTTTGTTTTTGTTTTGAAAATATACATAATTTATTAGATGGAGTTAAGAACACAAATAAATTTCAGGCACTTTTTAAATACAGACTATGGGAATTTTCCATCAAAAACAGCACATCTAGCAGGCAATAACATGAAGTTTTAAGCTTTAGTTTTTAAAACAATACGCAAGGGCTGGACAATTCTAAGAAATACTGCAGAAGCAATCCAACAGTATCCTGTTATATTTCTTCACATCCCCACCACACCATTCAGTTAAACAGAAGAAGTCATGTCTGACTATGTGGTTTTGAAACTAGTTTATAGAAGTAGTTTGAGAAAGTTTAGAGATGAGCTACAGGATTTCTAGAATGCTGTAAGGAGAGCCTGATGGATAATTCTGGTCAGAGCTCAGAAGACCAGAATGTCAACATGAATGTGATACACTAAAGGCCAGATTTAGGAAGTTTCAGTTTGGAACAAGACTTCATTTGCAATCGGACGAGAGACCACACATTACACTCTGAGGGGAAAAACGCCTATTTACATTTTGCCCATATATCAAGACTGCCTGAAACTGAGATAAAGGGTGGTGGACTAACTAATCTGGAAGAAATTTCACAGCAGCCCAATATTCAGACTGTGGTATGGGTACTGCTGGCTACTTTTAGCCAGATTTATAGTGAGGATTACGGGTAAAAAGCAAACCAGAAAATTGTGAAAAACTTAAAATTTTTGGCTCAACAGGAACCACATGTAAAGCTGAGACCAAAGATAGTGTGGTTAATGAAGAGATTAGCATGGTTAAAAAGAAAACAGATACTTTGTACAGGGACAATAAGAAAGATACCTTGGGGGAAAAAAAAAGAAAGATACCTTGAGGGCATCTCAGGAATCATCAAGACCCCACCCATCTGAGGTTCCAATGTGCAAAAGTATAATAAAACAATCATTTGGGAAGAAACCCCCTTGGTCCCCTACTCAAAGAGGGCCACCTGAGGAACTGGTTCCCTGAATTCATTTCACCACATTCAGCCATCCAGGCACTCCTTGCACTGGTGGAAGAACTTGGCATTGTCTATATCATGCTGGTTTTACTGGCATACAGAATGCTGGAGCTACGGAGTCAGACAGTCTTCTAACCAGATTTCAAAGGAAGGCCTGGGAGGTCAGGCTAGGTACTTCTGAGAGATGGGTTCTTGGAGCTGGGGGAATAAAGCAAAAGATGCAGTGGACACCTCAGAAAGTCAAGAGCTAGCCCAAGAAAGAAGACGTGGGCTGCAACAAGCAAGGTTGCAGGGGTAGGAGTAAGGCTGTGAAAGTTACATCTCACTACCATGTGTCTAGATGCCAGATAAGAAGCTACAGGACTTAATGTTTGCCCTGATCGATTTTGGTCTTGCATTGATCCAATTCTTTTCTCTCTATTCCTCCTTTTGGAATAGGAATGTTTACCCTGGGCCACTATACTTTAGAATTATGTAACTTGTTTATTTGTTTGTTTGTTCTTGATAGAGGTTCACAAATACGAGTGTGCCTTTAGTCTCAGAAGAAACTTGGACTTGGACTTTTGAAAAATGCAGGGACTGCTGAGATTTTCAGGAAGAGACTACTATTTTTTGTTATAAGCAAGATAACTATAAAATATTAGGTGGAATTATTAAGTTACTACTATTGTGCTCATTTGGAGTTTAAGCATATTTTAAGGAGCTATGTTTGAGTGTCAAGTTGACAAGGGATGGACTGTAACCATTAATCATGAAACATGTCATTTTCATTAGATTAAAAGGCCTGGGGGATTAGTAAAGCACACTTCCGAGTATGTCTGGGTGGGTTACGGAGATGTTACCTTGAGTACTAAGTATGGTCTCTAGGTCCTCCTTCTCGGGTGCTATTCCCTTCTCCGCTTCTGAGCTGCAATGAACTAAGCATCTCTGCCATGCCCTTCTGCCATGATTTTGCAACTCTAGCCGACCATGGACTAAATCTCCTAAAACCACGACCCAAATTAAACCTCTCCTCTTTAATTTGTGGGTGTCAGGTATTGTGTCTCAGCAACGAGAAAGTTCACTACTACACCAAAGTTCCTGCTTCATATCTTCTCCACTATGCCATCTTCCATGTGCTCACGAGCTAGTGACCCACATCTGTGCTTGTACCCTGACTTCACCTCTGAGCCTTTGCCTCAGGCACCAAGCTACTACCCTATGTTTCTACCTGTCTATATCATGCAGTTCAGACTTAAGGTAAAATACAAATCTGCCCCTCCTTTCATCCCACCTGCCTCACCCAGGAGTACCTGTCCTACTTGAACAAAGCTAACTTCCCTGTAGAGCTAGTAGGGAGGGCTGGTCCTGCCCAACGTTGCCCCCAGGGCTTTTACCAGAAGCACTCCAGTGGGGGCACACACCACCTTTGAGCTTTTCCACCTGGACTCATCAGATCACATTCTCCAGCCAACCCCAGCTATGGCTGTAAAGCTCACATGGCTCTCTGCCAGCAGGGCTGGACATGTGCTTATGTATGTGCAGGCACCTCTGGGTCCTGCCTGGGAAGAATGGACATCTGGAGAGACTCTGACCCTGACCCCAAGTCATAACTAACATGCTGTGCCTCTGGGCTCTGGATCAGCAGCTCTGGGCTGAGTTCATGGCCTAAAAAAAGGCTATCTGAACTGTTGGGGCCATGAAGGCTTCCACAAAATGCCCAAGCCCAGGCCTACCTGGTTCCCCTGGAACCTGGCATACCTAACATCCCCTCAAAATAGTCCTTAATCTGCTCTTAGAAGTACAATAATGGCAAAAACTAAATCCCCCGATAGCTTTCGGAAAATTTTTCTCAGAGAAGAGATCCTCAGGTTTCAGGCCCGGCAAGAAAACAGAGCTAGTCTACACAGAACACTCCCATCAAGGCCCTTCTCAAAGGCCTAGAACCACTCCTGGTTAACAGCCCTCGAAGGCAAAAACACCCTAATTACCTCAAGGAGTATTCTAAAGTTCCCTAAAAGGTCTACAAACAATTCAATTTAAATTTATTCCCACTTCACAAAATAAAGAATACTGTATTTATGAAAATACAGTGGTTCCTCTGTCCACAAATGCTTTTGTTTACAAACAATTTGGTTTGCAAACAGAAATGTTTGGCAAAATTTTGCAAACTCTTCATCAGATGACAGACACAACCACGGCCATCTTTTTCACACAAACATGAACATGGCCCGTCTTTTCCAAAATCATAGAACAAATTAAGTTCGTGAACTGAGGTACCACTATAAAGGAAAAGTCGTGTCCTATAGTCTGGGGTCCTGTGGGAGCCTAACTGAACCAGAGCAACTCCATGTTGACCAGCAAACAACCTACAGACTGTCGCTCCCCCCCTCATCCCTTACAGGATAACTAATGATTGATTGTGAATTGTTGGGTGGCTGCTTTGAAGTAGCTGGGAGGCTAGATGGAAACTGTAGTGAACACAGAGACCCAACATAAATCACACCACTCCTTGCTTGCCTGTAGTGGAATGTTCTGAACTTTGTAATCTAAGTTGAAAATGGAAAAATGGATAATCAATCTGCTGATCATTAGTACGTGACGGTCAAGTATATGCCTGATGACCACTAGCTCAGATTAACTGATTCTTTGCCTTTGTCCTCTCTCTGTAAGTTTTAAGTATAAACCCCCCCACTTCAGCCCTATATAAAATGGCCTCTGTTTCTGAGCTAGCCGCCCTTCTTGAGCTACTTGGCTTAGGAGGTGCCGTCTGGCCAGACTAATAAAGGTCTATTAGCCAACTTGCCTGGTGTGTTCCTTCCTGGGTGACTCTCGCTATCGGACAAGCTCCTGGAGCCTCGCTGAGCTACTGAGCCCAGCATCGTGAAGGCCTCTTGGCTGTTCACGCTCCAGGAGTAAAAGTGAGACACAAGTCTTACAGTCCTTGGTGAGTTGAGAAAATGCCCCATGGCCACACAGACTGGCCTGCATTAATTCCACCTGCAAGACGGAAGAATCCCTAAGTCACAGCCAATCATAGAAGATGTGTGCAACCAGGTCCTTGAGGATATCACTTCACTGCACATCCTCACTCCCAGGAGAACTTGACAAAAGTGGGAGCCTTGGGACTCAGCTCACCTTGCCCTGGACAACTGATGATCTGATCACCAATGTTGCCAAGCACCACGAGTTCATGAGGTCCCAGAAATCCTGACATCTATGGATACATAGATAAATGGGTTCCCCAGACAAGGCAGCCCAGCCTGGACCTGGGCCACTCTGAGACAAAAAAACTAAGCCTTGCCCCCAGTTAATGACAGCAACACGAAGGTCAGTGGTACTACAGAGCCACAACACAGGCCTGAGGCTACCCTGGGCAGCCAGGCACAGTGTCCAAGGCAGTGAGGAAAGGATGACCAGGTAGGGGGCCATGTCAACTGAAGGAAAACCACAGAGGGAGATGTGTAATTACAACCCCCACCGTGATCTAGGAGGAGAGATGAATACTGAAGGGCACCTGCTGGCACTGCCTGGAGAAGCCGTCCTGCTGTGGCACAGATGTGCTAAGATAGCGTACCAGCTGCTTTTCCAGGCTCCCGCCATGCCCAGAATCTGAGGCAGCACTGTAGGTGTCTCCCCACTGCCCTTTAGGGTCTCCAGAGCAGGACCTTCTCTAGGGCCCACCTCATGCACCTCATCTTTAGGGGATGCTTCCCCATCATCACACACTGCTCTGATGGGAGCATCTTTGGCCTTCACTCCCTCTCCAGTCTGCACCCCTCCTCCCTGTCCAGGCCTTCCCCCAGGCCACAGCTGCTCTGGGAGCCTGTCCATGTGTCAGTCTGCCCTCCTAGCCCACGTTCCCACAGATGTAATTCTACACAACCTGAGCCTAGACTAACTTACCACTGTTCAGACTCAAGACACTCCCCTGAACAGGGGTCACATGGAGCCATAACCAGAACCTCCTCCTGACTCTGCAGCCTCATCCAGAGTGACCTGGACTAACTTCCAGCCTCTCCTGGCACCCAGGCTGCAAGTGGCATCCTTACCTACCTTGGTCAGTTCCTGGGCATTGGCAAGGTTGTCCACAGCAATGGCCAGGAAGACATTCAGCAGGGTATCTGTTTGGCTCCAGTTAAGGAAGGAAGCCCTCTGCTCCAAAACCATCCCACAGGCACATCCGACAAGGGCTCCCATCTCCCTGGATCACAACACTAGTGCAGCCTCCTTCCCTTGTCACCACCAGCCCCTCAGCCCCTGCTGTGCCTGGATGCACCTCAGTTCACTAACCAGGCCCCAGCTCCCTCATCTTTCTCCCTGAACACCCCATCTATTCCCTCCTCTATTCAGTGTCATACCACCCAATCTCCCCTAAGAGCCACATGGACCTTTCCCCACCCAGCTCTTCAAGGCTGACACTGGGGTTATGTTGGGTCAGTTTGCCTTTAGAGAACACAGGGTCTGCCTGCCTGTCCTTACCTCACCCATTTTCTGGTCAGCATAAAAAGCCTTGCAACAAATATCTGTTTTCACAAGCTCTAGCTGGGTCTCCAGCACCTTCCCAGGCAAACAGTCAATACACAAGCCCACCTATGATTACCCTGACTACCCTGTTCCAGTCCTAGTGGTTCCTGATGTCTCCCAGTCTCACCTGCCCCTTTCCTTTCACATCAAATTCCTTCATAGACGCTTTGGCACCCATCCCTCAAGGAGCTCTCCTGAATAACGCCAGAGCTGGAAGGTACAGAGCAGCCCGAACACCCAGCACTGTATTCACCCTGACCTGATCCCAGGAACCCTGTGGCAAGGAGCTGACATTACCCTATTAGCAACAAAGAAGCCAAAGTACAGAAGTAAATGCCCTGCCCCAGGTCCCAGCATAGCACAGGCCCTCTCCAATCTCTCCAGGGAAGGCCTTCACTCTATCACTACCTTGAGTCACCAGGGTGTTCTTGCAAAAAGCATCTTCCTTCCAGCACTGGGTGCAGCCTCTGGCCAGAGCTCATCTCTCTGTTGAGTGGTACTTCTATAGGTTTGTCCCCTACGATGACAGCAGCCCTCCCTTCTGTGACCAGTGCTGGTCCCACCACACTACAGCCAAGGCCTGCCCTCCTAAGTCCTCTCATCATTTTAGGGTCTCAACCTTGGCACAGCCGACACACTGGGCTGGGCAAGCAGGGCAGGATGTTGAGAAGCATCTCTGATGCATCCCTGATCTACCTGATGCTTGTAATCCCAGTCCTAAGCACCAAAATCTCTCAGGTATAGAGAGGTGGATACCCCATGAAGCAATGTTCAGAACACTGAGCATAACCATGGACTGCTCAGAGGCCCTTCTATGCCTAGGACTAAGGGCTATGCCCTAGGGGCCCAGCCAAAGGGACATACAAGTTTAGCAGAAGCCATCCTGACTGGGTGGCCTGCACTGGCCTGGGCTCACCCATCTCCAAGGCAAATGCTGTCCCCCAAGCCCCGGCCCCTTCAGAGGCCTCGTATTCGGCCATGTGAGACCAGATCCCCATACTGGGGCCTAGGATCTGAGCTGTCACCCACAGGACACCTTCGCAGAGGCAGGAGTTCCTGGCGCAGTAATCCAGGGAGTCAGAGGAGAGGAAGCAAAGGACAGAAACAGAGAAGAAACGAAGGTGTAGGTGGTCACAAAGCCAGAGAGAGATTAGGAAGACTGGAGGGTGAGATGGCAAGGTGAGGAGAAGTGAAGAGTGTGCAAAAAGGTGAGAGATGCTCACAGCAGGCAGGTCGGCTGCGGCAACTCACAAGATCTTATCCCAGCTCAGGCCTTCTTTCAGGTGGTACAGAAGGTTCTACCACAATAGTTCTTCAAGCAGAAGACCCAGCCCTAGCAGCACGGCAGCCCCTGGGAGACTGGTAGAAGGCATACTCCAAGGCTCCGTGGGATCTGACACATCCCCAGAGTGCCCTCCTAGGCCTGCATTCCTACTTGCATTTGTAGCAACCACTTTTGCATCTGGTTCTCCTGGCTGAACCCCGTTCTGCATCATGAACCCTGTAGATTCTGTCTTCTGGATTCTCCTGGGCCCCAGCACATTCCCACATGGCCTCTGCATGAAGCTGAGCTCACTGCCAGCTGCTGTGCCTGCCTGGCCCTGCACAAGGCCCTCCAGCACCAGGTTATAGATAAAGCCCTTGGTATCCCTGCAGAGGAGTCCCTCCATATCTCTCTGCTAGCGCTAGTTTTCAGCAGGTTTCTTACAGCCATGCGCCAAAATTATATTAAATCAGAAGGGGAGGAAGCTCTGCTGCCTTTGGCCTTCCAAGTCTCCCACCTTCCTGTGAGCCCCAGAAAGCTGCTAGAGTGTTTCCTAAGCCACAATGGTGGCCCATCTGCCCCACGTCTGCTGCCATGTGTATTGCCTCTAGACCCGTCACCTGGGCTAACCTTGGAGATCTCCGTATTTGCACTTAGCTGAGAACACACAGGTGACAACCCTCTCCCCTTCCTTGTCCTCCTGAGGAAGCCAAAGGGTAGCCGCAAGAAGTGTTGGTGGGGTTGTCTTTGGAAATAGGGAGGGCAGGGGGCTGAATGGAGGGCAGGGGAATTGGGGGAAAGAAGTGTCCTGTGTACTGACCACCTGCACCCAGCCCCACAGAAGGATACAGTTTCCAAACAGTGTCAGGACAATGAAGTAAAAGGAGGAGAACATACCTCTGCTGACCCCACCTTGCGATTCAATCCCATGATACATCACTGCATTCCAGTCCTCTCCAGTCAGGATCTGCACGAGGAGAAGGACACAGGGCACACCTGCACGCACTGTACACAGTGCAAGTGCACACACCCAGGGTCGGAGCAGGGCACACCCACATTAGGGTCTTTAGACCCACTCAAGGGTCTTTAGATGAAGGTGGTTCCAAAGGTCTAGGCAGCCTAGAATCTTGCAGAAAAATGTTCCAAAGCATATTTGGGACACATACTGACTTGGGTGAGGTTAAGAGACAAACGTCTTCTAGGTTTTTCGTTTTTTGGTTTGTTTTGGGTTTTTTTTTAGTACCAGGGATTGAACTCGGGTCCTTGGCTTGCAAGGGAGGCCACCGAACCGCTGGAGCTAAATCCCGGGCTGTGTTCTAGGTTTTCAGGAAAACTGGGGAGCTCCAAGAGAGGTGATCAAAGGCCAGCGGGGAGAAGTGCTATCCCTGGGAAGGGAGTTGAGGGCAGAGAGGGGCACGAGCTGCTGGAGGCCACATGATGGAAGTGGGCCATTCACTCTCCCAGGCCCTGCCACCAAGCCTTGTGACTTCATCCTCACAGCCTGGCTAAAACCACCCTTGCCCCATCGCAAGCCCACGTCTTTTTTTTTAAGTACCAGGTATAAGGTAACACACGTCCACCGAAGCAGACTGTTAACATTTTGTCACGACTCTATCAGTCCTGTTGCCCATAACCATGGCCACTGGGAGCCCCAGTCACAGCTCCACGATCCTGCAGCAGGCCGGGCGTGTCGTTCACAGAGCAGCTGTGTGCTACGCATGCTCAGGAAGGCATCAGCCACACACTGCTACTCCACCCGATGTTCTCTCTGCGCTCCACTTCGAAGTTCACGTCAAGACACAAAAACCTACTCACTCATACAAATACTGACACGGTTTTCCTCCCAGTGTTCACCCACTTTTCCGCCTGACAGCACTTTCAGGTTTTCAGTATTATTGTCCCTTGTGCTACGTCAAGAGTCTCTATCACAGAGCCAGCTGGGCAGGAGGCCATGCATATCCTTGACTTGCAGGTGTTTCCAAAGCGGTTCTCCCAGTCGCACGACATCCCATCTCGAGCAGTGTGTCGTCTCTCTACATCCTCACGTCACCGGGGCACTGTCACGTCCTCTGATGGCTCATCAGTCCAGGAGCTGTGAGGTCTCTCTCTTCCTTGTCCCACATTTCTGATGGCACATGTTCTTACTGATCTGTCAGATTTCCCTAGGCATTCTTGTATATACCATTCCATTATCCACACTACCTTTTGGAAATATTTTTGTTCTTATTTTACTGTTATATTTTCACTTATTATTATAAAAAGGTTTAAACCAGGTCTATTGGTTCATACTTGTAATCCCAGCACTCTGGAAGGCTGAAACAGAAAGATCACAAGTTCAAGCCCAGTCTGGGTATTTACTTGGAAAAGTCTCAAAGTTAAAAATAGAAGAAGGGCTAAAGGCACCTGCGTTCAATTGCCAGTATCAAAGCAGGAAGGGGGCCGGGGATTTAGCTTGGTGGTTCCACCACCTGCCTCACAAGCATAAGGACCCCAAGTTTGATACCTGGCACCAAAAAGAAAAAGCAGGAGGGGAACTTAATATAGGCAACCTTTTCCTTTACTTTCTGCTTTTTGTACCTTTTTCCCCCTTTCCTTTTCTTTTCTTTGGTGTTAGGTATGATCTCCAAGGCCTCAACGCATGCTAGGCAAGGACTGCTCCACTGAGCTACATCCTCGGGGTTTCTTTGGTTTGTTTTTTGAGACAAGGTCTTACTAAATTGCCCAGGCTAGACCTGGACTTCCAGCTGTAATTATAGATGTGTACATGGTTTTGGCTTTAACGACTAAAGCCTTAATAATGTTTAAAACAGAGTATTTCACATTTAGGTCTAATCTAACTAAAGCTTTTCGTATTTATGGGGGGGTGATCTTTTTCCATAAGGAAAATCCATTTTCCCAAATCCATTTTTTGAATACTCCATCCTTCCCCTGTTGGCTAACTTCTTGATTAACTAGGCATGTTTCTGGGCACTCATCCATCCTTTGACGCTGTCTTTATATATACTACAACACCACCACAGCTGCGGCCTCAAAGAAATCTTGGTATTGGTAGAGCCAATGCCCTCTTCCTGCACATTTCCTTCCCACATTCAGAGTGCCTGCCCCACGTCAGCAGGGGACACAGGCTACCTACCCATGGAACTCCCAGGCTGACTGCATTCTGCCCATAGTAGACCGTAGACTGCACTTGCCTCACAGAGTGGTTCCTTCCCTTTTCTGAGATGCTGTGTAAGCCAGCTGCCAACTGTTCTTCACAGCTGGGTAAAACTAACCTTGTAACCAAGGGGCCCAAGTCAGAAGGCAGGAAAATGGGAAGAAACTTTTGACTATGGATTCCATTTCCCTAATGATTATGAAATGCCCAGATTTTTTTTGAGCTACTTTATGTTTTTCTATAAAACTTCATGTTTCACCCAAGTTTGAAGTTTATTGGCACAAAACTGTCATCAAATATGGATGTTTAAATCCCTGTTTTAAAGTTATGCCTCCTGTTAAGGCGAGGGTAGGTACTTTCAGCTTTTATTTTTATAATTGCATTTAAGATTATAATTTTTCCTCTAAATATTGCTTACATTTTATCCCGTAAATTTTTATATTATTGTTCAGTTTCAAACATTTGATGATGTTCATGTGATTCTCTCTCTACCCTAATCCTTCTACTTACAAAGACTTTAAGGGTTGGGGATTTAGCTCAGTGGTTCCGCCACCCACCCTGCAAGTGCAAGGTCCTGAGTTTGATCCCCAGTACCAGAAAAAAAAAAGATTTTATATGACTTTATTAGTGGTGTCTGTTTTTGTATATGTGTGGTGCCTATTATCTCTGTCAGCAATTATTCAACATTTGTCATTTCTTGGGTGATCAAACAAATGGGCATTTTCTATAAATGTTCTGAGCCCAAACTGACCACGGCTGAGTGTGGTTCTGTACAGGGAGTGGCTCGTGTTTGTTGTGTCCCTGAGCTCTTCTATGTCCTTCCTACTCCTTTGTCATCTTCACCTTCCAATTTGATGAATCATACATCTATGGTGAGACGGCAATGTTCTCAATTCCTGGTGCAATCTGTCAGTTTCTGTTTAATGTATTCTGAGGCTGTGCTGTGGATCGTGAAGTTCACGACGGCAGCATCTTCTCAGTGGAGCCCTCCTTCACCACCATGGAATGTGCATCCTCAGTGTAACTATTCCTTACCTGAACTTCTCTTTTGGCTGATTCTATTACTACACCAGCCTTTCCTTGGTCACTGTTTATCTTTTGGATCCTTTCATTTTAAAATCAAATTTTAAGTGCTCAGAAAGGCACAATGAACCTCTATGCACCCATCCCCCAGCTTAATTTAAAAAACAAAAAATCAAGGTTGACCCTTATTGCCTATACTGTACACTGGAGAAGACACAGAACTCTGTCTTAGGCTTTCCGTCCTTATTTAAACAGTATTATAAGCTATGTGTTATTCTGAAGTTTGTTTATCTTGCCCAACATTGTGAGGTCACCTCTGTTACAAAGTTCGTTCTAGGTCATTCATTCTTCCTGTTGAATAAATATAACATACGGTCCTTATCATCCTCCTGATGATGCCACTCAGGTGATTTCCATTGGTTTGGTCATTACAGACAGTGCTGCCGTGACGGTCAACGCGTCTCTGTGCCTTATTTCCACAGCATGGAAACAGTACACTGGATGTTAGGAAGTGACGCTCCAGAGGGGTTTTACCAACCCACCAACCACATACGCACCACGTCTTCTCTAAAACTTTGCACCATTACCCTTCTGAACTTCAGCTACACTGACTTCTGGGAATGGCTGTCTGAAAGGTTATCTCATTATGGGTTTAATTCTCATCTCCCGTACGGTAGTAAATAGGTCACATTTACTCAGCCCAGCTTCTCTGTGAGCTACCTGCTTGTATCTTTAGCCCTTTCCTACATTATCTGTCCTATCTTTTTGAGTTGTGAAATTTCCCCATACATTCAATAAGCTAATTCCTTCTTTGTTATTTGCTGACACTGGAAATGTCCTCTCTGCCTCTGGGTGTTCTCATTATCTTTTAATGGTGTCTGTTGATACACAGAAATTTAATGTAATCAAATTATTTCCATCATTTCCTTTATGTCTGCATCTTTATCTTCTTTAAAATAGACTTCCCGTCCCCTAAAATAGTCTTCTCTTCCCTACATTAATAATAATGTCCTTGTGTGTGTTCTAAGATTTTAGGTTTCTTTCAGTTTAGGATTTAATCCACTGAGAATCAATTCCTATACCTGATATAAGGTAGGAATCAAGTTTTTTGTTTTTCTTTGTAGATAACAAATTGTCCTCCATCTGCAATGCGAGCTCTACTCGGCTTTTCTTGCACACAAATAACACATTTGTGAATGGTAATATCTTTCTTCTTAGTTCTGAGAATTTTTATTTCATTTTTCCTTATTCTATGGTACTAAGACCACTCAACACTAATGTGAGGGCTGGGGATTTAGCTCAGCGGTTTGGTGGCCTTCCTCTCAAGTGCAAAGACCCAAGTTCAATCCCCGGTACGCCTCCCCCACCAAAAAAAAGCTAAGCTCTTTGCCGGGGATTTAGCTCAGTGGTTCGGTGGCCTGCCTTGCAAGCACAAGGACCCAAGTTCAATCCCCGGTACCCAAATAAAAGGCAAGCACAAACACTAATGTGATCTGCCACTAGTTTTTATTTGGCAGGAGTGCTGGCTTTTTTCTTTAGAAAAACAATTTCCAGGCATGTCAAATATGCACAAAACAGAGCACAGAATGAAGCCACACATTCCTCACCAGCTTCTGCAACTGCCAGGCTGCCAAGCTCATTTCACTTTGTCTTTTTTTTTTTTTTTTTTTTTTTTTTGGTTCCAGGATTGAATTCTGGACCTTGCGCTTGCAAGGCAGGCAACGGAACTACTGAGCTAAATCCCTTGCTCACTCTGCTTTTGCTCGAGTTTTCTTTCATAATCTGGTAATAGGACGAGTCACATTTGTGATCTTACATGGACAGCTGCTAACCATATCTGGACCTGATTCCTGGTTTACTTCTGGACCCTTCACCTCTGCCTGTAACAGCCATCTGCATTCTTCTTTTCTGATCCTATTCTCATTCAGTTTTCCATGCCCAGGTTACTTGAGCGAGCAGTCTGTATAAAATTGGAATAAGTCCTTAAATATATAGAATTCACTTTTCAAACTGTCTGGACTTGGTAGCTTCAGTAGGGAATTACCAGTTATTCAACTTCAGAAGTGGTCACTTCTTCTTGGACTAACGTACTTTTCTTTTACATCATTCACTCAAATGTGTAAGTGCTCACAGTGCTTTCAGCGTCTGGGGTGGGGTATGTGAAATGTCTCCCCAAGCCTCACTCGTAGCAGTTCTCTGGACTCAGCAGGCTGAGACTGGACCTCAGTACTTCCATTACCTTCTGCCATTTACTGTTCATGAGAAATCTGCTATCGGGTTAGATGTCGTTCTTTTATAGATCTTTCTGGGGCAGCTTCAGAATCTTCAATTTGCCAGACTGCTGCTAGTCTGGACTTACTCTGTTCACCTTGCTTGGCCCCTGAGAGCAGAGCACCAAGACTCTCCCCGGAAGGGTACTGAGCCGGGTGAGCTGCTCACTTGGTCCCTCTCTCTTTCCCTCTCAATTTCTCTTCCCCTCTCTCCCTTTTCAGTGCCGGGGATCCATTGCAAGGCCTCATTCATGCTAGGCAAGCGCTCTACCACCAAGCCACAGCCCTACCCCACCCTGGTTTCTGCACTGCACACCTGAGGGTCGCACCCCTGTCCATCCAAGGCATCTGATCATGTCTCCGAACTGCAGCATACTCAGCTCTTCACGTCTTCTAGATGTCGTTCCTCCCTCCCTAGGATCATGTCCCTGTCGTCGGACTTTTTCTTTTAAGTTGAATAAGTATTTTCACTTCTAGGATTTCTACTCAGTTCTTTTTCAGTTGAACCTATTCTTTGTCTTTTTCCCACAACTTGGGGTTTACATGAGCTCTTCATTTACCTCTTGGGAGGGTCGCCAGCATACTCACCTCACAGTCCCTGCCCTTGCTCTGCCATCATTTTTCTTTGGGAATAGTTCCACCTCCTGACCACGGCGCTGCTGGTCCTCTCCTGGGGTGTCAGTGTTTAGCAAGTGTTTGTCTGTAGGTCTCCATGAACAAAGTGGATGTGTTTTCTGCCTCTTCTCTTGTCCTCTGATCCCTTTCCCAATCCATTTCAGAAGCAGGGGCTCCTTTCCTAGTCTAGCTCGGGCCTCTGGTCCAGGGAACTCCTGTGCAGATAACTGGGCCTGGCCTGCCCTCTTTCTGGTATCTTCCAGCTCTCTCTCTTTATCCTCTGCAGAAGGGCCTGGTGTCTTCCCCAGAGCTTAGAGTGGCCAAGCCACCTTTATATTCGTCTGAGGCTGTGAATCTCCCATGCCCAGCCAGCCAGCCTCTCACCAGGTACATCCCAGTGCCTGTGCCTCCGCTGTCTCTACCATCTACAGACTTTGTTTCTTTTATGAAGACCTGGTCACAGTGCCCACGAGTGGCGGGGGGCACTTTTCCTCATGACTGTGGCTTAGACCTTTTCTGGAAATAGACATAGAAAGCACCATCTAACTGCCAGCCTGTCACCACCTCACCCTGAAGTCTCCTCTGTGATTGCAAGGCCTATTCACCTGGCCTGCACAGCCCTCCCAACCTGGCCCCAGGTCCTGGAGCCACCTGTGGCCATATCATACATCACGCGCATGGCTCAGCTGGGTTGCACTCCTCCCAATCCCCTGGCCTGTTGCCTGGGCAACCTGGTCCTGGCCACATGAAGAAGAGCTCTTCCCATAGAAGTGAACCACGGTCCTCAGGACAGCCTGTGTGAGGCCCCAGTGTGTGCCACCCTACTTCGTCTCCACTGAAGCCTTGGATTCTGGAGGCCATTAGCCTATGAGCAACACAGAGCAGCCCAAACCTCAGTGGGAGAGGGGAGAACAGAATGAGCTGACAGGTGCTGCCTGCACTTAGGAAGCCAAGGAGGAGAGAAGAGGCAGCACTGCCCAAGGGTGAGACAGAGGGGAAGGAGGGTCAAGCACAGCACCAAGTACTGCCAGACTGGAGTAGACATTCCCCTGGGGCAAGAACTGGCTGTGTGTAGCTGTGACCAAACTGATGGGCACAGGGCTCCCAGCAAGAGGGCTAGAGGGAGACAACGTGAGAAAGGGGACAGTCATGAACATCATGGGTCCAATCACCTGCTTTGGTGTAGTCTGTTTCTCTTAGAGAAAGTGGAAGGCAGAGGCCACTCCTCACACATGGGCATGTGCAGCCTGTGGAGTCTCTCTAAGGGTCTCCACAGGCAGAACAACAGCCACCCAGCCCCACCGTCCACATAGGCACCATGGGAGAGAAACACAGCATCACCCAACTGGCACAGTCAGTCCTGGCAGCACCTGTAAAGAAGAAAGTGCCTACACAAGAGTCCCTGGAAAGGGACCATCCAAAAGGGCAGAGGTCACTGAGCCAAGGTCTCTACCATACAGAAGAGGGGCCCAAGCTGGCCTCCTGCTGCTATGGTGAGCGTGTTTCCCAGACAAAAGGGAAAAGAGGCGCCACTGGGTCTAGGCGTTACTGCAGAAGTTTAGAAGAACTCTGTATGTTTCCAGTGGACAAAAGACAAGGCATTCCAGTGTCCTGGGGCTAAGAAATGCTCTGGTGGCTTGAAGCCTTATCCCCAGAGAGCTACACCAGCTCCTCGGGGCAGCATCAGAGTACCCAGCTTCCCCCGTCCAAACTCATGCTCATAGTCTGCTTTGTGGAAGGTTCTGTGTATCTGGGTTGTGCTGAGCACCTAAGGAAGAGCTGGCAAGGACTGGCAGCCTTTCCGTCACACAGGGGAGAGGAAAGCGAAGCAAAGCCCTCACCTGGAAGACAGTGAGGATGGCGGCAGGAAAGGTATCAAAGTTGGTTGTTGGAGTCTCGTCTTTAAAGTTGAACCTGGAAAAACAGGAAGCCCTGGGGAGAGGCAGCCCCCCACCAGAAGCGAGAACTACACCTGGCAACAACATGCTGTTGGTGGATGCACAGGTGGATGGCTGCAGGTGGATGGCTTTCTCAGCATCACCAGCCCTCCAAGGGCCTTCAGGAGGGACAGCAGAGAAGAGACCTGTGAGCCCTGCCTCCCAGTGGGACCAGTCCCATCCTCCCCCACCTCCACCCACTTACTGTCCCCCAAACAGCTGCATCCCCAGCAGGGCAAAGACCACGATGAACAAGAACAGCAGGAACAGGAGGCTGATGATGGACTTCATGGAGTTCAGCAGAGACACCACCAGGTTCCGCAGGGAGTTCCAGTACCTGCCGGGCAGCAGTGAGGTCAGAGCCCTGAGCTATGCCCAGATGTGGCCACATTCCTCCAGGCCCTCTGCAGCCATCTACCTCTGCAGCTTTCTAAGACCTAAGATGTCATGTGTGAGTGTGTGCATGTGAGCTTCTCTCTGGAGTCCTGGGCCTGTCGTCACAGCTGCTCAGCCTGAGGCCCAAGGGACCACAGACAAAGCAGGCAGGCAGGTAGCGCTGGACTGACTCTCACACTTCATAACTGTCCCTGATCCTCTTTGGCAGAATAACGCCACTACCCCTCAGGTGGACAGACACAGACTTCACCTTTAGCCTCCCTCTTCTTCACTCCCTAGTACCCAATCAGCCACCAAGAGCCACCACCCGGCACCACATGAAATAAAGCCCACCAGAGGAGGGGCTGCACTGCTTCCCTCTGGTGAGGTCTGTCACACACTGATGGAGCGTTCCTCTCACTGAGCACCAGGACATCGGGCACAGGGAGCAGTGCCACGCAACTCCAACTCCCTGGCACCCATAAGCTCCCTCTTCTACCCACCCCCAAGTGCTCCTGAAGGTCAGAAAATGTGCCCCCTTGTTCACAACTGATCCCCACAGCACACAGGCTCCTCCTGCTGATGCCACACTGCTATGTGGTGGCTACAACCACTGTCCCCAGCCTCTGGGGACTCTTCCCAAGAGCCCAATGATCACAACCCACCAGACAAAGAGCTGCAGCTCCCCTGGAGACATGGCCCTAGACTTTGTGCATGGCATTGACGACCCACAGCCCTGGAACAGAGGGGTGGAAGGACAGTGGTGGTCTCACTGGGCATCTCTGGGGCAAAAGTGGCATCCTTCTCTGTGGCATCCACATCAGAGGCCCAGCTGCGCTCTATATCCTCTTATAAGGGGCCTGAGGGTTGGTGGAAGGAGTGGCAGAAGACTCTGGAAAAGGGGTCCTGCCTTCTGGGTTGGCAGGAGTCAACCTGGCTCAGAACAAGGGTCACCAGCCTCCTGGCAGGAAACACAGGTCTGAGGCTAAGAAAAAGCCAGAGATTTAGCTCAGTAGCACCATGCCTGCTTGGCGAGTGCAATGTCTTGAGTTTAATCCCTGGTTCTGGAAAAGAGGGGACGGGGAACAGGGATGTAGCTCAGTGGTACAGCACCTGCCTGGCAAGCATAAGGCCCTAAGTTTGATTCCCAGTACCAAAAAAAAAAAAAAAATGTGGCCCCTGTGGTCACCTTCTTTAAACCCATCAGCGGCAATGAGAAAGCAGTGGAGGCCTGAGGACTCACCCCAGAAAATGCTCACAGCACATCTTGGATCAAACTGGATTGAACTCTGCCTCAACCTTTTCGTCATTCATTCTTTCATATATCTTCAGATGATTTGGAGTTTGGATTTAAAACAATGAAAAGACCAACAGAACATGACTCTACCAGCAGAGGCCAGGTCCTGCTCGAGCTCGGTGCTGAGACTGCTGGACCTCGGGGGCCCCAGATGCTATGAGGACGCCATTCAGAGATCCTCCAAAACTCAGGACAAACTGGCCATGGTAAGACTGACTGAGCAGCCTGTGCTACTGCTAAGAACCCGCAGAGTGAGTCTTTTTCTCACGCCCATGCAGTTCTGACAGTGAGGGGCAGGGGCTCCACTCAGGTCCCTGTCACTAACTGCACCACAACACCTCCTTATATGTCATCTCGTCATGAGCAAAGGAAACAAGTCCCTTGCAGGGCCAAAGACTCGAGTGAGCCTGGGCTGAAAACTCATGTCACTGTTGTCATGATGAAGGCTTAGTCGGGCAGGAGGATGCAGAAAACAGGACCGGAACAGCAGCCACGTAGGCACTGGGCTGGCTCAGACAAGGCCAGGGGCTGAGGCCTTGCTCTACCTGCAGGAAACAGGCTGCAAGGCAGGCAGGCAGGCCTTCAGACAGGCCTTCCACCTGAGAACTCTTCTACCAGCTATAAAATAAGTTTCTTCTGAAGGCTAGGAGGCGGGATTGGTGGTTTCAAGAGGAGATGGTATGGAATTTTGGGGTGTCCCATAACAAGAGAACTAGGAAGCATGACTCCAACACTGGGGCCAGTGGGGAGTGATCCTGAGGACACATCTGGGCCCAACAAGATTTGCTAGGATGGTTCCTTAGCACATGCTATTTTTAACCAGCTCCCACAGTTAAACCAACAAGCCACAGAAGAGCTTCCAGACCCCCTGCCTTCCTGGACCTCTGTTGCCACTCTCAATTCCCTCCCTCCCAGAAGTACACAGACAACTTACTTTGTGACCTTGAAGATCCTCAGCAAGCGGAGCGCCCGCAGCACGCTGATCCCAAAGGAGGTTCCTGGCTTGATGGCAGCCCACACCACTTCAAAAATGCTCCCCACGATGACCTGCAATGAGGGTGGTGTCAGCCTTGGGGAACATCTGTATCTGTACATGTATTCATGCACACGGTGCACCAATGCGTGCCTATGCATGTGCTGTGTGTATGCACCTAAGGCTGCATCTCTCTGTACGCTACCTCCAGGTGCAGCTCAAGTCAGAGAAGCCAGCCTAGGCCACTCAGGTCACACGAGCTCCTGTAACCTCTACTAGGAGGTCTGCAAAGGCCCACGGGTCCTGACCCATCTTCCCATCACCCCAGACAAACCAGGGGGGACACAAGCCTTCTGGTGTCCTGACAGCCAGGTTATACCCACATCTTCTTATATACATGTGAGGCTGGACAAACAATCTCAGACTGCCCCATTAAGCAGTTCTCTCCCAGGCTAGCAATCTGTCTTCCTACAACTTCCCCTCCCTGGTCTTGCCATTGTTCTAAGGTAGTCAGCTTCATAAAATGCAGGGTGAATCTTTTCTTCTCCCAGTAACCAGAAGCCAGTTTGTGCCACCAAGAACAGACTGTGGCCAACATACCCACTGGTCTTACCACAACCTTATCTCCTACTTCAGGTTTCGGTGGGCTCAGACTTGTGAGCAAGGGGCACGTTTCTGCTTCTAGCTGTTCCTCAGAGAGACCATGCGAACGGCCATTCTGGCCAGTGGTTGCTGCAAGGACGGAGCAGCAGAACTGGACCCGGTAGCCCTTTACCATCCTTCTCTAAACGGAAAAAGGGGCCAAACTGAATTATCTCCCCAGCTACCACACCTCATGAACTCAGGGCTCACAGTTGGCATGAGCAACTGTGTCTTCTTCATGTGTATAATTCTCATCCTCCAACTCACACATCTGCATCTGGCACAGAAAAATCAAATGTTGGACATTGATCTCTTAAATTACATTTGTCTCCTATGTCTTCAAAGGTTTTAGTTATTTCCACTAACTTTACATCAAATGCAAGTCTGACCTGCTTAACATCAAGTCACTGAGAGAAGGGTGAACATGCCAGGACAGTGCCCTGTGCTATAGCACCAGAGACCTCCCCACAGGCTACCACTGATCTACCTGGGTCATTCAATTGCACAATCTATTGCACATTCTCTACCTTTTCCATAAATGTGTCATTCAGAGAACATCAACATCCTTCCCCCTCACAGATATCAGCATCTGCATAGTGATAACCCTATTATGCAACAAATAGAGCAAGCTTGCCAACACCTGTTCTTGGGGACACATACTGGCCCTTGATCAGACTACCAGTTTTCTCTACAGTAGCAAATATGCAGATGCCTTGCCCTGGGCTAAAGACCAGATTTCTAAAGCTCTTTTCCTCTCACTGCCAGTATCTCTTGTTTTCCACTAATTTTTTTTTTTTTTTTTTTTTTTTTTGGTACCAGGGATCTAACTTGGATCCTTGTGCTTGCAAGACAGGCGGAGGAACCACGGAGCTAAATCCCCGGTCCTCTTTTCCACTGATTCTCAAAAACTTTCCCCATTGGCTCATGGGGTAGGCTGTCTCTAAGATGGCCCCAGAATCCACCACCTAGTGTTTGCTTTCTATAAAGTCCAACCCTTGAGGATAGGCTGGACCTAAGACTTGTTCCTAGCAAACAGAACACCACAAAGATGATGGGCCGTCCCCTCTGAGGTTAGGTTCACAAGGACTCTTCTTCTGATTTGGGTTTTCCTGGGTCTTTCTCAATCTCTAGAGCCCCTGCTACTAGTGTCCCAGGTGACGGGACAGACGGCTGCCAAGAACTTTATCAGTGAGCCAAGAAGCTAATCTTTTGAGGCCAATCAACAGCCATCAGCACGAGCTTCACGAATTATCTAGCTTCAAACAAGCCTGGGATGACTATAACCTCAGTACAGACTTAAGCCAAGGGCATGGAGTTTAGGTCACAGCCCAATGTTAGGTCACAGACCGATTCGTGATGTAAAGAAACAGTAAGATAAATGTTTATTGTTTTAAACTACTAAGGATTGGGATAATTTATTCTCAAGCAGGAAAAAAATCAGCACAGGTTTTAGGAACAGAAGAAGGGTGCTCGGGAAGGTAGGCCGGGCCCAGATCCACCGCGGGAAGGAGAACCACGCCTGCTCCCGACCCAGCAGCCATCGCTCAAGCGCCGGGAAGGTAGGCCAGGCCGATCCACCGTGGGAAGGAGAACCACGCCTGCTCCCGACCCAGCCACCATTGCTCAAGCACCAGGAAGGTAGCCGTGCGGGCGCCCCTGAACCCCCATAATCCCCAACCCCGCACTCTCAGACCTCCTGACTGTGCAAGTCTTTGGACCCACTCTGAAAAGACAGAGGTGGTCATCAAGGGTATTTTTCTGAGTTCCCAACTTTGAACATCTTTAAAGAAA